TTTCACACGACCCCGTCCACTCAGCAGGGACGCCAGCGAGGAGGCTCGTTGCAGGTTAGACAACGGGTGGCACTGGCGGCTTGGGCACATGTGCTCTGTGTAGTGCAGCAGGAAGCGGGTGGAGCCTAGATGTGCCTTGAAGGTCCAGATGAATCAGTATGGTGACAATGGTGACAATGTGATAGTGATGATGGTGGTGATGATGATGATGATGGTGACAATGTGATAGTGATGATGGTGTTAATGATGATGATGATGGTGATGGTGACAATGTGATAGTGATGATGGTGGTGATGGTGATGATGATGGTGACAATGTGATAGTGATGATGGTGGTGATGATGATGATGATGGTGACAATGTGATAGTGATGATGGTGGTGATGATGATGGTGATGGTGACAATGTGATAGTGATGATGATGGTGATGGTGACAATGTGATAGTGATGATGATGGTGATGGTGACAATGTGATAGTGATGATGGTGGTGATGATGATGGTGATGGTGACAATGTGATAGTGATGATGGTGGTGATGGTGACAATGTGATAGTGATGATGGTGGTGATGATGATGGTGATGGTGACAATGTGATAGTGACGATGGTGATGACACTGGTGACAATGATGACACTGGTAATGATGGTGACAATGTGATAGTGATGATGATGACACTGGTGACAATGATGACAGGTGGTAATGATGGTGACAGTGTGATAGTGATGATGGTGATGATGATGATGGTGACAATGATGATGGTGACAATGTGATAGTGATGATGATGGTGATGGTGACAATGTGATAGGATGATGGGTGTGATTGATGATGGTGATGTGACAATGTATAGTGATGATGATGCGTGACTGCAATGATAGTGATGATGGGTGATGATGATGGGTGAGGTGACAAACTGCTGATAGTGATATGATGGTGATGGTGACAATGTGATAGTTGAGATGGTTGCCGTGATGATGATGGGTATGATGGTGACAATGGATAGTGATGATGGTGATGACCACTGGTGACAATTGAGACACTGGTAATTGATGGTGACATGTGATAGTGAGATGATGACACTGGGACCAATGATGACAGGTGGTAATGATGGTGACAGTGTGATAGTGATGATGGTGATGATGATGATGGTGACAATGATGATGGTGACAATGTGATAGTGATGATGGTGATGACAATGGTGACAATGATAACAGTGGTGATGACAGTGATGACACTGGAGATGATGGTGACAATGTGATAATGATGATGGTGATGATGACGATGATGATGGTGATGATGGTGACAGTGTGATAGTGATGATGGTGATGATGACGATGATGATGGTGATGATGTGACAATGTGATATTGATGATGGTGATGACAATGGTGACAATGATGACAGTGGTAACGATGGTGACAATGTGATAGTGATGATGGTGATGACAATGGTGACAATGATGACAGTGGTAATGATGGTGATGACACTGGAGATGATGGTGACAATGTGATAGTGATGATGGTGATGACAATGATGACAATGACAGTGGTGATGATGGTGATGACACTGGAGATGACGGTGACAATGCGATAGTGATGATGCTGATGATGAAGGTGACCGTAGTGACTGGCATGACACCAGTGATCACAATGGTCATCACACCATCATTTGCCGTGTCACATGAAGAGGAAGGGGTAGAATGGAGAGTTCTAGATCAAGCTGGCCAGCCCCCAGTCCTGGGGTCTTTTCATCTCATCACAGAAGTGCCATTAGGGCGTTTTGGGACAAGGAAACTATCTGTTCTTGGCTTGTTGCATTTTTAATAGGCTGAAAATATTACAGGTAGTAATTCCAGGGCCTTGGACAGAGTCCATCATGGCCCAATCACGAAACCAAATGCACTGGATTTTGTAGCCTCGACTCCAATAAACTGTTACCAAGGAGCAACTCAAGCGATCGCTGATTCCAAATGATCTTGAAACCCACATAAGAACAATCCCCTTCCAGGAGACCTTGCCCTGCTTTTCATCCCCTCCCCTGACGCGGCGCCCTGCCATGTTGTGGGAAAGTCCAAGAGGGCATCTTACCGGAGGGCTTCAGGGGAACCGGGAGGGGCCCAGCCAGTGATGCTCCAAATGCTTGAGGAAGGACAAAGGCTTCTGCCATCTCCCAGAAGGGAAGAGCAAAAATGCACACTGCAGAACCCCCACGTGCACACGTGTGCACACACACTCACACATACACATATGCATGCATGTTCACATGCACACACTCAGATACACATAAGTATGCATGAGCACATGCACACACTCACAGATACACATATGCACGCATGTGCACATGCACACAGTCACAGACACATGCACGCATGTGCACAGACACACATATGCACGCATGTGCACATGCACACAGACACATATGCACGCATGTGCACATGAACACACTCACAGAAACACATAAGCATGCATGTGCACATGCACGCAGTCACAGACACACATAAACATTCATGTGCACATGCACAGTCACATGTACACGTATGTGCACACGAACACATACACATGTATGTGCACGTGCACACTCACAGACACGCATATGCATGCATGTGCACATGCACACACTCAAAGATACACATAAACATGCATGTGCACATGCACACACTCACATATGTATGTGCACATGCACACACTCACAGATACACATATGCACACATGTGTGCACACACCAGATACATATAAGCAGCACTGTGTGCACATGTGAACATAAGTGCATACGTGCACATATATGTACCAACACACACATTCTTCCTGAAGATTGTGTGACCGAGCCCTCAGGCTTCCCAGCAGTAGAGTTCAGAGCAGGAAGCACACATGGAAGACAGCAGAGGTCCCCATGGGCAGAAGGCGCAGAAGGGAGTCCAGAGACACAGCCCATGGCCCCAAACGCCATCACAGACGCGCAGAACGCTTGCCCTGCTGATGAAACGCACAGCCCTGGCACTCGGCGTTTGCAAAGCTCTGGTGCAGACGGACCAAGCTGTGCTTCCTTTCCAGGGGACATTTCATCGTAGCAGGATTGAAACCGCTCCAGCACAAAAGCGTCTGAGGGCATCGCCTCTGTCCTCCTCTCCCACCTTCATCTCTCTGAGACGAGGCCGGCGCCGAGCACCAGGTGACTCCCCGACTCCACTGCTCCCTCAGAGATAAGATACGGGCAAGGACGGCGGTCACAGCCACCACCTCCTGCTCAGCCCTCACGCTCGAGAGAGAAGTGAGAGCTGGCACCAGGCTCATTCGTGGCTGTCCTCCAGGGCTGACAGGCGGGTCAGGCATCCGGGAAACATGTCGGCTGCAGTGTGTGCAGCCAGATTCTCCCGGGGACCGGCCACTTGCTTGGTCAGAAAGCAGGGACGGCAAGGCCGGGTGAGGCACCATGGCAGAGAAGGAAAACCGGAGCTGGGAGTGGGCTGACCTGCACTCGACGCCAGCTCTGTCCGTGGTTTGCTCGCTGACTTACTCTTTCCTTGCCTCGGTTTTCTCATCTGCAAATGGGGCCATTAACAGTATCTGCCTCACAGGGCTTTTATAATGTTTAGGTAAAATAATCATGTAAAATGTGTTGCCCAGTACCTTGCATGTAGGAGATGCTCGTAAGTGTCGGCTGCTGTTGTGATTTTACATTTTTATATTTTAATAATGTATGCTGCCAATCTGACCACCTAGCCTTTCCTGCTCCGGGAATGGATGAAAAGTCAAGACGAAAGAATTTCGGAGATGAACGTAACGGAGGCAGCCCTAGCCGCTACGCCTTCATTTCATCATTTAGTAAGTGTTTCCTGAAGCCGGGCACTTCTCCAGGGCCCCCCGGGCCAGGGGCTCCCAAACATTCGTCCTTGGATCGTGAGAAGATTTCACTGAAGGAAAGAGAGCAATAGTATAGTGGGTTTTTCTATGAATCCGAATGTATTCGATTTAAAGGACTGTCTTCATTCTGGAGTCCGCCTTTTTGGTACTGAAAGATTTTATCATTTGGGGCTAATGGATAACAGCCCTTTCCAGTGTCCAGGACAGTAAATAAATACAGACAGAGGCAGAGAGGAGCCAGCGTAGGCAGCTGGCACTTCCCGCACAGTCCTCCCTGGATGTGACACCGTGCAGTACTCTCCGCCAGCCATGGGTGTCCCGGTCACCAGGCAGAAGAGAGCAGGGCACCCAACTCCAGAGGCAGGGCACCTGCATGCAGGTGGCCGCTCGTTCCCAGGGACCGTGCGCCTCCTTGCCACCCGACCTGGCTTCCGAGTGGGAGGCGAGGCTACAGGTGGCTGCCTTGTTAGCGTTAGCAAACGTAGCTACGCTAATTTTAAAAATCCAAGAAGTCAAATTTTTTTTTTCAATTAATTAGGTAATTTGTTTCTTTAAGAGCTCCCACCACGAAGTTGCCCATTAAGTAAACATCTGATGCACTTACTGCGTGTCTGCACCACCAGGCTGGAATGGCGGATGGATGATAATTACACATAAATGCACCACAATTCCACAGTGCTCTGATTCCCAGGGTCGAGCGTAATTTGCAAACTCTATTGAGCTTAGCTCAGTAATGCAAGACTCTCACCCATGATAAGGCTGAGAAAAGTAAACAAGAATTATTTGGGTGAGAAATATGCCTTTCGGACTACTAAATCATCCCTGAATGTCTTGTTTACTTATTTTTAACTACTTAATGCACATTTACCAGGCACCAGAGTTGAGGTTCACGGCCCAGGGTTTGACTGTCAATCACCACCTGTTCTGGTTTGTTGGGCTTATTACAGGGGGCGGGGCTGTTCTCAGAGCAAAATAACTTTGGAAACGCTGGGTTGGACAGCAGGGCCTTCTGAGCTTCCGGAACAGGAGCATTCGTCAAGGGCCACATTAAGACGTGGAAAGACATTCTGGAATATCACCGAGAATGAAGATTGTAATAATAATTTTAAACCAAGCTGGCATGTTTTCCAAAAAAAAAAACAAAAAACAAATCTTTACTCTGCATCTTATTAACTTGACAGAAAATATTTTTCTTCCAAAAATATTTCACTCTCTCAGACGAAAAGGCTACATTCTAAATAATTCCATGTTTGCAATTTTTTTTTTTTTTAATTCATTGCAACAACTTAGAGCCACTCTTTTCTCAGGGCCGTCTTGGATTGGGAGTCGGGCAGACGCGTCTTGGCTTCCACCAGCCCGCGGCTCACCGGCGGTGACTTCGGGGGAGTCGCCTAAGGACGCTGGACCACGCGGTCCAGCTTGTGGACTGGCGGTGGCAGTGGCCGCCCTGCGGGGCTGTGAGGGGAATAAAGGGAGTGGGCACAGAGCACACAGACCCTCCCTCGAGGATGCTCAGGGGGCTCTGCCGCCCTCGGGCACCCGCTCGATCTGCAACTCCGCTTCCCGAAGGATGTCCCCAAGCACGAGCACACCCGACGGAGTGACAGATGTGTCTGCCAGTGCATCCAACCCCAACAGGTTCCCTCTCGCATCGCTTGGTTAAGACAGTTAAAAACTACTTCTCTGTGGCAGCAACACTTGCAGTTTTGCTTAGAAAAACACGGAGCCCAGGCTCTTGGGTCCGAGGGTCCAGGGACCAGCAGCCCTGACCCTACTGGGATGAACGGCTTTATTTCCACGTGTTCTCATGTAAACGTGAGAAGTAAGCCTTTAACTTCAGTTCCCGCTTAATTAGGAGACGTGCCGTCCACGTGGCGTGGCCGATGGAGGTGGCTCCCCTGCCTTGCAGCCCGGCGAGCAGGGGGACGCTCAGCTCGTCACTTAATGGCTCCAGGTTGCAGCTTCCTAATGCACTAAACAGCGATATTCGTGGAACTGTTGCAAAGGATTAATGAGACAATATTTGTAAGATGATTGGAGATAATTGGATGCAGAGCACATATAAATACAGAGTGTTACTATTAAGTCTCTGAGGAATAATAAAATGTGTAAAGACATGTCTGCGGTAATCTATACTTAATTATGTAATTTTCTAATACCCAGAAGGTATGCACAAGCGCAGATGAGTAAATTGCATTGTGTGGCTCTCATTTCATGAGGTCACTGGCCATTAAAGTTTAATCACGTCCCATTAAAAAGTAAAGATTTCTGTTTTCGTTCTTTCCCAATACCTGCTAATACGTGCACGTGGCGAGGTATGAAGTCATATCGATTGTTTAAAGAGAGAGATCTCAAACCTCCGCCCATGCCGGCACACACCTGTCAGGGCATTCTACGGTGCACGGGGCGTGCCCGTCTTCCCGGGCCCAGGGCTGTGCTGGGCAGGCGTGACTAACATGTAAGGTAACCGCGGCCATAAGGCAGAGCTGAACCTTCCGGAGTGCGGGTCACAGAAGTAGCAGGTGAGGCTTCCCGAGGCCAGAGGCTTGATTCCTGCGTGGCCAGAGCCTCAGGCAGTGCCGGCGGGCGGGCGGCCGCATCCGGCTCGTGCTTCCGACAGACCTGTGGGCTGTGGGTGGGCGAGCCCCTGAGCCCCAGAAGAACCAGGAGCGTTCTCGGAGGACAGGGGCCAGGAGGGGTCCTTGCAGGGGGTCAGGAGTGAGGCCCCAAGAGAGGAAGAGAACTGGTTTGGCTGCTTCCCGCCGCTGGGGCTGGGCATCTGCCTCTGAGTCACGGCAGAGGGGCTGGTGACAGTGGCCTTGGAAGTCTGGCCATTCTAACGACCCTAAAATTCCTTTTGTCCAAACTTCAGACCTAAGAGAGACCAAAAAACTGCATGGACCCCCTTGTCGCCGTGCCTTCTGCGCCCAGGGCCGCTGGCGGCTGCAGCACACACAGACACCAGGTCTTGGGCCAAGGACATGCCAGGTGTTTCCAAACTGAGCCCATGGGGGTGCCGGGCCCCCAGAGGGCAGCCCAGGGGCAGTGGTGGCAAGTCACCAAGGAACAAACAGCCCTGCGGGCAAATCACCAGAAGCCGCCCTGGGCACACAGGGGATCTCAGGGTTTCCCTGTTTTTCCACAGGACTTCTGGGTGCAGCCAGTGGTACCCAACACCGACCAGGTAGCTGGAAAATTCCACAGTGCTACAGCCCAAAGACCTGGAGTCCAACCCACAAGGGACCTCAGGTGAACCCTGAAGCGGGCAAGGACTCGATTTCCCCAGGTCGAAAAGGGAAGCAAAGACGCTGGCCTCACCCGCTCCTGACCTGCTACAACACCAGGTCACATGCACAGGCAAACCTGAAACCACAGGCCGCGCCAGTGCAGAATTAGGGGTGTTCGCAGACCGCAGGCAGGGGCAGAATTTCTTTGAGCTACTTTGGACAAGGCACTAAACTCTGCACCCACGAGATGAGGTTGTGCTGTGGGCTTAGTGGTTCCCCAAATCCAGTCCCTCATCCAACTGCCCCAGGAGCACCTGCAGCCCGGCCCAGCGTGGGACAGGTAGGGCCCAGGACCAGGTACCCGCGCAGCCTTGCAAGGTAACCCCGGCGATGGACGCACAGGGGCCGCGTTGGAAATGACGCAGCGCTGCAGTGCCGAGCTCCACAGGGTGGGGGGGTCTGGGGGGGCCCCACTGCCAGCCCAGGGCACCCCCACCGCCCCAACCCATTCCTTAAATCGTCCAGGGCCACCCGATAGCGTCTTCCTCAATCTGGTGGCTGTTGGTAGGAGACTCATCCACGCTGCTGGTGGCCGGCTGCTCACGACGTCCAGGCGGGTCTGGGGGTGCTGTGGCCCCAGATTCCAGAAAGTGCTTGCTCTGCCCTCAGTTTCAGCTCCCTTTGACGCACTTCTGTCTGCTGGCAGCCGGGCTCCCAAAGTGGGGTGTGGGCAGGGAGGCCTGGTGTCCTGGGCAGCATCCCGCCCTTCCCCCAGCCCCCCAGCCCCACTTGCTCAGAGCTCCCGGCACCTTTTCCGCGCTGTGCTGCTGAGGTCATGGCGCAGGCCCGGTGGCAGGTGCGGATGCCCCGCGGGCGGCATGACTCCATCTCCCACATTCTGGTTTCTGAAGAGTCCCGCGATTGCCCTGGGCCAACCTCGACCCCGGCTCACTTAGAGAATGCGAAGATCCCCTGGGACTCCCAAGGTCGCGGGGCCACCTGGAGTGACACGCCCCGGACATCGTGGGGAACAAGGACATCTACCCAGGTGACGTCACTGGGGAGTGCAGCGCTCAGCCGGGTCTCGCCACGCCCCCAGCAGGACCACAGGAGGCCACCTGTGGTCACCGCCACCACTAACGCCGGCGTCTGGACTCTTCGCCCCCCGGCCCTGGCGCACGGGGCGTCCCCCACCCGCCTGGCATCTGCTCCCGGGCGTCACGTGTCCGCCACGAGATGAAAAAGCAAAACTGGGTCTGCTCAGCCCCCCACCAGGAGATTTTCTCTCGAGGGTCTCAGATCCTCGGACAAAAATGAGCAGCGTGGATCAAAGTTGGGGTGTTCTCCGCGCCTTCCCTGGGCCTGGAGTCTGTCACATCCAGCTCCATTTTTATCGCAGTCGCAGCCTGCCCCTGGAAAGTGGCCGCCAGACAAAGAGCGCGCAGCCCCGGCCTGCGGCGGGCGGGGGTTCGAGGTGGGTGGTCCCGGGAGAGGACGCCGGCCGCAGCGCCTCCCCGCACCGGCCCGGCCCGCGCGGCTGCTCCCCAAAATGCAGCCCGGACCTGCGCCTGCGCCTGAGCCCCAGGACCCCTCGCGCCGGCGTCCGTGGGTTGGGCCAAGGGCGCAGGCAGGACCTGGAGGTGGCGGAGGGGGACGGCCAGGTGTCCCCGCCGCAGGGCCGTGCGCCGCCCCGCCCGGACTCTCCCCTGTCCGCGCTGGCTTCGCGGAGGGCCCCCGCTGAACCCGGAGGGACTGTCCCCTGCGCGGCCTGCCGGCGCAGTCGCTGGTCGCCGCGCACCTGACGAGCTGCCCGGGAGCGCGCCGGCTCCTCGCGCGCGCAGAGCCCTCACCTGCTGCCGGGCTGCCACCTGTGCCGTCCCCGCCGCGCAGCTCGCCCCGGACGCGGTGACGTCAGTGCACACGCCAGCCCGCAGGGAACGGCGCTTCTCACACACCACACACACACACCACACACACATACATACACACACCACACATACATACACACATACACACAGCACACATACATACACACAGCACACATACATACACACATCATACACCACACATACATAAACACACACCAGACACACCACACATACACACACATACCACACACACCACACATACATACACACACCATACACACACCACACACACACCACACACACATACACACACGACACACACACCACACACACATACACACATGACACACACACCACACACACCACACACCATACATGCACACACACCAAAAACACACATACATACACACCACACACCACACATACATATACACCACACACCACATATACAAACACAACCACACATGCCACACACACACCACACACATACACCATACACACATACACACACAACACACACACATACATACACACCATACATACACCATACACACATACATACACACACCACACACACCACACATACATACACACACACCACATACCACACATACATAAACACTACACACACATACACATGCATATACATACACACCACACACACCGCATACCACACATACATACCACACACAGCACCCATACACACACACATACACACACACATACACACACCACACACACACAAACATACACACCACACACACCACATGCACACACACAAACACACCGCACGTACATACACACACGCAAACACACATCACACATACATACACATAAACGAACCACATACACATATACCACACACATATCACACACAACACACATATACACACGCAAACACACACCACACACCCCACAAAACATACACATAAATGAACCACACACACATACACCACACACATATCACACACACCACACATATACACACACCACACGCCACACTCACCACACACCACACAACACGCACACACACGTGTTGTTCACACGCATGGGCTCAGTAGTGGCCCTAGAACGCGCGCACGAGTTCCCTACCTGCTCCACCCGTGGGAGCGAGCCCCTCCTGCCCTTGCGCGCAGCGTCGCGGCTCACGCTCACCAGCCGTGTGGGGAGGACGCTGCGCCCTCACGCCCGGCCACACACGCGCCGTGGCTTTGTCCTCACGCTCTCCTGGCCCCGGCCGCCGTGTCCCGGGCACTGGGGGCCCCTCCAGGCCCTGTGGGAGCACCCGGGCCAGCAGCCCCTCTCGGAAGAGGGTCCCCGGCCGCAGCCAAGCCCTGGATGGCACGTCCCCGTCAACCTGCTCCGCTGAGTCCCCGAGACCCTGAACCAGATCCCGCTTGAACCGTGCCGCGTCTGAATTCCCGACACTCAGAAACGGTGCCAGGTTATACCTGTTTGCTGTCTTCACCTGCGGAGATTCAAGTCAGCTTGCTGTGTGGACGTAGGCAACGGCCACGGCAACACGGACAGCGCCCAACTGAGACTTCTCCGATGACCGGAGACAGGAAAGATTAAACAAACGCTGTGGAAATTCTGCTGACGATCATAGCACGGATACCACCCTCTCCCCACGCCTGCCACCGCGGCAGGTAAGTCGTGTCTTCTGGAGAGAAACCCACACCCATTCTCTCCTCGCTGTAACCCGGGCACCCACCGGAACTTGGTGGAGGCGGCATGGCCCGGACTGGGAAACCGTCTCAACAGAGAAGACGACAAAAGGAACAAGGCTCTTCCCTCCCGGCCGCAGGGAGCCAGCCCACCGTCCTCACCTCCACAGTCTCCCGCGGACAAGGACTGCCCTGGGTGCCACCTCGGGCTGAGCCCACACAAGCAGGAGATGCCAGAGCTGCAGCACAGGCGGGGCTAGTCCTCATGCTCAGTCTATGCAGGCGCTAGCCGGTTCACATGCTGGACAGGGCGGGGGTACTACTGTGCACATCAAGAAAAAGGACGTCCAAGCTTGGCAGTACACGGGGTCTGTGAACCGACTAGTCACTAGAGACATTCACAGTGATACTCAGCTGTCCCATAGTTAGAGTAGAGAAAGAAGAAAAAGGCAAGGGGGCCAGAGATGTGACAAGGGTCCTTGGTAACCCAAACCATAACTCCTACACTAAACCCTAACACTAACTCCTAACCCTAACAACTATCCATAAAGCTAACTCCTAACACTAACACCTAAGCCTAACTCTAAAACTAACCCCTAACCAGAAACCTAACCCCAACTCTAACGCTAACTCTTACCCTAACCCCTAACTCCTAACTCTAAACCTAACTCTTAACCCTAACCCCTAAACCTAACTAAACACAAACCCATAACCTAACGCTAACTCCTAACCCTAACCCCTAAGCCTAACTCTAACCCTAACCCCCTAACCTAACCCTAACTCTAAATCTAACCCCTAACCTAACCCTAACCCTAACCCTCGGGCCATGCGAGGACTCAGGCCAGTGGGGGGAGGGGGACAGGACTGGGGAGGCCGACAGGGGACAAACGTGTCCCTGGGTGGCGAGGAGACAGCCCAGGGGACGCTACCGGCCCCAGAGGAGCAGCGCCCCACAGCTGTGGAGGTGGGGCGCAACGTCAGCCGCTGGGCACGTGGGAGGGGAGACCAGGCTTTGAGATGAGGGACCGCGGACAGTGCCCCGGAGGGATGCGACGTTCACTCGGGGCTGAGCGAGGCGGTGCAAGGGCCCCGGGAGGTGCTGTCACCGAGGGTACTGCTCGAAGCAACCTGTGACCCTGAGACAGGGAGCAGGAAGCCGGCCCGGGGCGCCCCGAGCCCATGCGCTCCGCCCAGGCGCCTCTGAGCCGCTGGCCATGGTGGGAGTGGGGACACTCCTGTGTCCCCCAGCCTGCCCCTCCTGTCCCGTCCCTCCTCCTCCCCCTGCCTGCCCTCCCCCTCCCGTGTCCGTGGGCGCTGGCGTGGGGTTGCTCTTTATCTCCCCTCCGGCCTCGTTCCGGAAGGATCGGAGAAGCCCAGCGGCAGCAGCTCGGAAAGAAGAGCTTGGGGGGCGGCTGCGAGGCCGAGCTGGGGAGGGTGACCCTGGTCACCCACAGCCTGCCCGATATTTGGGAGCAAAGTGAGAAATGTGAACAGGAAATAACCCCCTCCGCCTCCCCCCGCCTCCCCCGAACCCCTTTCGCTCCAGGTGAGAGGAACAAGAGAAGTGGACTCTTTGGTGGACCCTCCCGGTGAGAATAAGGAGTTAATTTCTCGGGATTCGAGCGCAGCGAAGGAGAGGGGAGAGAGACGCTCTCAGCACACATCGCACCCTTCAAGGTCAAGGCCAGAATTGGTCATTAGAGGAAGTATTAATCTTGGAGCGGCTGCTTGGCGTCTTGCGGCACATCAGGAAATTCTGCAGAGCTATAATTGTACAGTCCGATACTGCGGGGACGGAGCGGGAGCACGCCTCGGTTCCTGAATCCGCCCCGCGCCAGCCCCGGATATTTCCGCAGCTGACCAGACCCAGGGCGGGCGGCAAGGGCTGTTGTGACTCATGTCCCCGCCTCCACACGCCGGGCACCAGGGCCGCCCCCGCCAGGACCAGCCCCGTGGAAACAGAGCCTTTGCTGGCAGAGCACGCGCAGGTGCAGGCACACACACACACACTCGTGTGCACACACGCACACGCACACATGTGGGATTCGCCCCGCACAGGCACAAGCCATGGCCATGGGGCTGCGTCACCCTCCCGGGGAGCCACCTCCCAGCACGGCTATCTGGGACCTGGACGGAAGGTGGGTGAGGTTGGCCGCCGGGCAGTTAGCTGGAGCCTTGGACCTGGAGTCTCCCACAGAGGGGCCGGCTCCCAGTCTCAGCTTTGTCATCTCCTGTTCTTATTACGCTGTCATTGCCGTGACCTTGAGCCTCGGTTTCCCCAGCTGCAGTTCAGAGAGAAACACACCTACCTCTGGGGTTACAAGAGAGAAATGACCCTCGGCGTTCAGACTGCCGTCCTGCGCTGGCCTCTTGCTCAGCGGGCCAGAGGGCTCCTGGCGGCGGCGTCACCAGTGTTGGCACTCTGGGTCTGCAGGCAGAAGCACGACTTGTCCCCGGGTCTCATCAACACCCACGGACGTTCACACCGCTCCCGTGTCCGCCAGCACGAGGTCCCCATCCATCACGCCCACTATGCGACCCGGGTCCTGCAGCCCGTGGTCCTTGGGCTCCGGACACGCCAAACCTCTCACCGGAGACACAAGATCTCTAATCCACCCGTCTGGGCAATGGTTTTCTTTCCCTCGTCCCCCCAACGGGCTCCCTCTCTTGGATTAAGTCTTATTCTCCCCCCTTGGACTTGGACGGGGACACAGGCTTGCCTCTGTCTTGCAGCCTCCCCCCTTCTCTGCGCCCCCAGGCAGAACCCAGAGTGAGCGGGCAGTCAGACGTGCAGGCGTGCACCGCTCCCAGATTAGTGCTCCGGCCGCCAGAGGTGCTTCCAGACCCGGGCCCCCCACGCTCCCTCCTGCACCCACCGCGGGTGCCGTCTCTAGAACACGCCGGCATCACGTCACGCCCTGCCAGCCCAGGACAAAGTCCGGACCCTCGTGCCCTCGTGCGCTCTGTTTTCATGTTTACCTGCCTCAGGTAAACCCCACCCCTTTCTCGCCTGCTGTGCCGCCCTACAGGTTCGCTCACCCTGGGGGCCCACCCGCAATACCCGTCGTCTTTGCCAGACTCCACTGGAGGATTCTTGGTACCACTTGCCACTCTCTCACCTCCCGGGCAGCTCTGGGTGGCCAGGTGACACAGTTTCGGCAATGGAACTTGAGCCTGTGGATACTCCCCCTTGCCCTTTCGCCCTCTCTGGAATGTAGACATGATTCTGGAGCTGAGGCAGCCACCTTGTGACCATGAGGAAGTAACAACGGAATCCCAAAGACATAAGCCTCACCCTCATGAAACCAGTGAGCCCAGGCCAAAGAGTCACCTGCCTCCCAGCTTCTGCTTAAGAGAAGAAGATAAATCTCCTTTTCTACCCTACACGCCTGCTAGGTTTGGGTCAGCATGCTCTTCTTTGTAAGGACTTTTTGCAGCCCCAACTGCAAACACAGTTTAATGTTCACTTCTCAGACTCCCTAACGCCTGGCAGTTAGTGTCACACTAGTGTCACGCTGGTCTTTGTACACGGCCATGCTCCCACCAGATGGTACGCACTGCTGTGCGCCCAGTACCATGCCTGGTGCTGGGCATACGATGAGCAACAGAACGGGGAGTCCCTGCCCCCCGAGACTCGCAGGGCGGCCCTGAGCGGCAAAGGCAATCCCAGAGCCATGTCCACCCATCACTGTCATCGCCTCTGGGACGATTGTCCCTGCAGTGCACAGTGAGTCACAAAAGACTCTGCAAGGCCTGGGAAGGGGCCTCTGGCTGCCGCCCGTCCCCGGGAATCCTGAATTTCATCTAGGCTCAAACCCTCCAGATGAAGGAAGTCTCGGCAGAGGAAGCGCTGCGGAGACCAGAGACCCCACGAGGGCGGCCTCCACCAGCCCGCGGCTCTGGGCGGCTGCCCTTCCGCACCCCATTCCTTAGACAAGAAAACGGGGGCCTGGAGAGGGGCAACAACCACCCCTAAAACCATGCATGGCAGGGCTGGAACTTAGACCCAAGTGTCCAAGAGCTGTTTTGTCCCAGAACCCCTGAAACAGCCGCCGTTGCCTAGGTAACCTGTGAATGGAGGCCATCAGCAGCTCCATCCCGGCGGTCACAGAGGACACGGCTGGAAAACACCCACGCAGATAGCCCGGAAGCGGAGGAGCCTGTGTTTTCTGCCTGGGGGAGAAGAGCCCTTGCCCCCCAGCCCCGTCCCGCCGTGCCCGGGAGGCGGCACAACAGCCGGTCTGTGTGCGCGGGGACCTGTCACATTCTCCCGTGCCCTGTGACATTCCAGCACTGGGCTGTCTCACAGGGGTGAGACTTTCCTCACCCCCCTGCCGTTGACCCAGGGGCTTCCACAAACAGCGGCGGGGGCAGCTGCACCAGGACAGTTCGGACAGGCGAGATCCGCTGGGGCTTCCGGAAACCGCCGCTCACCCCGGGGTGCTGCCGGCCAGGGGCGGGCGTGGGCCCGGCCGCAGCCACCACCCTCCCGGAGCCCCTGCACCCTCGCCCTGCCCCTTCCTCACAGCTGGCCTCCCTCGGTGCCCCAGAGCCACTGCCCGGCCGGCGCGGGCGTCCCTGCCGTCAGCCCGGGGCTGGGGCCGTTCCTTCCCTGTTCCGTGCGCCGTCTCCTCACAGCACACGCATTCGCAGCCGCGGTTCCAAGGCCCGCTTGTTCCCGCACGCTGCGTTTCACACTCCTACAGGTTCCGAACGGGACAGATGGCAAAGCCGGTATTGAGAAAAATCTGGCACTGGGGGTTCCCATTGTCCGGGATAAAAGTAGCCTTCGTGCCCAGGCCTTCCGAGCAGCCCCCGCCTGAAGGTCACTGCGCAATGTGACCAGGCCAAGGCGAGCAGGGCGAGCAGGGAGTCTCCGGGCAATGAAAATCCTTTTGTTGCCCTGCCCGGAAGGTCGAGAATTGCCATTTGAGATTGCCGAGCCCAGCAGGGCTCCCGCCCCCGTGAAGGTGACAGCACTGGGGACGGACCCTGGCGTCGCCCCGGTGGACCAATAATGCTGCATTGAGCAGACGCCCCGTGATCCCGTCCCAAACAGATGCCATTGTCTCCCAGAAAGGCGCCACAATAAAGAGGTGCTTGTTTGAAATGCCACCGGACCCAGCCGGGCCTGCAAGGAGAGGTGGCCGGGGCAGCCCGGGCACTGGGCTTCAGGAGGGCTGCCCGCCCCGCGCTGGGTGGCTAAGATGCCGTCGTGGCTCTGTATTCGAGTGGTCATGCTCCATAAGGTCCCCACGAGCCCTGAGCTGGCAGGCGCAGAGCCCTGGCTCCCAGGGGAACGCGGGTTAGGATCCCGGGAACCCCGGGCCACTACACTGTCCTCACCGGTCCTGGTCGCTCACTGTCCTCCTCGCTCGCTGTGTGCTCCAGCCCGAAGCCACCTGCCCGAATGCTGCTGATTCATTAGATCGAGCTCGCTGAGACCCGGCGGACTTCAGCAGAATGCCCCCCGTGGGCAGCGTGGCTGCTCAGCGAAGACTCGCCACGCACGATCCCACTTCGGAAACCCGTGCTCCACCTGGCACAGCTGCGGTGAAGGTTTCCTTCTTCCTAGAGTGGGGTCTGCAAACCTGCCCCGAAGGCCCGGAGACTTTGCGTGCCACCAGCCCCCGTGAAACACAGGTGGGAAAGTGAGAAAAGCCCGGCTGGAGTGAAATATGCAGGCGTTCTCCGGGTTGCTGTAGCTGAGGCTTCGCGCCCCTTCCTTAGCGAGCAAGAGTTCACGTCGCAAACAGGCCAGCGCAGCTCGGAGACGCTGCAGGTGGGGTTCCGCACAACCACGGCAAAGCAAGCAGCAGGATAAACTGAGTCACGTGAACTTTTAGTGTCCTAGTGCAATAAAAGTTATGTTTACATCACACTGTTGTCTAAGTCTGCAATAGCACTAAGCATGAAAACAATGTGTGCACTTTAATTAAAAAATACTTTATTGTTAAAAAAAAAAAAATGCTACGATCATCTGAGCCTTCAGCCTTCGGAAACTCTTTGCAGGCGGAGGGTCCCGCCTCGGAGCTGACAGACCAGGGCAGCGGCTGCCGAGGGCTGGGCCGGCTGTGGCAATTTGCTAAAATAAGACAACAGTGAAGTTTTGCCATGTGGATTGAGTCTTCCTTTCATGAAAGATGTCTCTGCGGCATGCGATGTCGTTTGATGGCATTTTACCCCAAGTAGAACTTCTTCCAAAATTGGAGTCAGTCCTCTCAAACCCTCCTGCTGCTGTATCAACAAAATTTGTGAGCTATTCTAAGTCCTTTATGTCATCTCCACAATGTTCACAGCACCTTCCCCGGGAGTAGCTTCCGTCTCAAGAAACCACTTTCTTTGCTCGTCTAGAAGGAGCAACTCCTCATCTGTTCAAGTCTGACCACGAGGCTGCAGCAATTCAGTCCCATCTTCAGGCCCCACCTCCGACTCCAGCTCTCCTGCTGTTTCCCCCACGTCTGCAGAGACTCCCTCCACTGGGGGTCTTGAACCTCTCAAAGTCATCCATGAGGGCTGGAACCAACTCCTCCCAAACTCCTGTTACTATTGATATTTTGACCTCCTCCCACGAATCACGGGTGTTCTTTCTTAATGGCATCTAGAATGGCGAGTCCCCTCCCAGAAGGTTTTCAATGCACTTTGCCCAGATCGGTCAGAGGCATCACTGTCTGTGGCAGCTGCAGCTTACGAACTGCATTTCTCAAATAAGACTTGAAAGTCAGAATGACCCCTTGATCCGTGCACGGGCTGCAGAATGGGTGCGGTGTTAACAGGCACAAAAACAACACTCATCTCCTCGCACAGCTCTGTCAGGGCTCTCGCTGACCAGGTGCATTGTCCACGGGCAGGCATACTTGGAAAGCAACCTTTTTTTTTATGAGCAGCAGTTCTCAACGGTGGGCTTAGAATATTAGTGGACCATGCTGTGAACAGATGTGCTGTCACCCAGGCCTTGTTGTTCCATTTACAGAGCACAGGCAGAGATGATCCGGCATAATTCTGAAGGGCCCAGGGCTTTCAGAATGGTAAATGAGCAAATGGCTTCAACTCAAAGTCACCAGCTAGCTGCATTCGCCCCTACTAAGAGGCAGCTTTGTAGCCTGGCACTGACTTCTCCCCTCTCACTATGGAAGTCCCAGATGGCATCTCCTTCCAATAGAAGGCTGTTTTGTCTACACTGAAAACCTGTTGTTCAGTGTGGCCACCTCCATCGACGATCTCAGCTGGATCTTCCGGATAACCTGCTGCAGCTTGTCCGTCAGCCCTTGCCGCTGCGCCTTGCGCTGCCATGGTACGGAGGCGCCTGCTTTTCCTAGACCTCCTGACCCAGCCTCTGCTGGCTTCAGACTTCCCTTCTTCAGCTTCCTCACCTCTCTCGGCCTGCACAGAATTGAGGAGAGCAGGGGCCTGGCCCTGGAGTGGGCTCTGGCTTAAGGGAATGTTGTGACTGGTTCCATCTTCCGTCCAGACCACCCACACTTTCTCCATATCAGCAGTAAGGCTGTCTCTCTTTCTTATCATCCATGCGTTCACTGGGGTAGCACTTTTAATTTCCTTCAGAAACTTTTCCTTTGCATTCACAATGTGGCTAACTATTTGGCAGAAGAGGCCTAGCTGTTGGCCTATCATGGATTTTAACACGCCTTCCCCACTAAGTTTATTCATTTCCATCTAGAATTTTTTTTAAGAACGGTACAACCATCTACGTTGATTTAAATATAGTTAAGTCATCTTCTTCTGGAACATCATCACTTAGAGGCCATTATAGGGCTTCCTTCCTTCCTTCCTTCCTTCCTTCCTTCCTTCCTTCCTTCCTTCCTTCCCTTTTCTTCCTTCCTTCCTCTGTCCCTCTCTCTCTCTCTCTCTTTTTTCTTTTGGAGTGGTGTCTTCATTTCGGTGCTTTAGGCAGCCAGTTGAAACTTTAGTGAATCAACTGTTTGTCTATACCATATCAGTAATGGATTGATAGATTTTTTTTTTCCAACTACAATCATCATATAGACTGGTTGTTTTTGGCTTTGGTAGAAACAACTTCAGTATTCCATTTTAAATAATGGAAAGAAAGCCTCTTTTATGGAAGGCAGGAAGTCATTTGGTCCACCAGGGCTACAAACCTGTTTTCCACTGTCTTTTGAGCTTTGCTTAAAAAAAAGAGAGAGAGAGAGAGATTTAGCAGTAGCACAAACAAAAGTGGTTGCCAAGGTGACTTGCATCTTTGTGGAGTGGTATTTTCTGGGTCACTGGTATTCTGTGCTATTGAATTTAGTGGTATGTCATTGAATTTTTATGTTGGAAATTGCCAAATGTTAAGACCTGCAGATACTTTAGCGCCTGTCCAAACCTCCAATGGGTTTGAGTGGTCCTTGGTCAACCTTTGCTGTAGAGTGAGTTTGATTTGTTACTTGGGAACATTTTTCTATGGCCTTTTGTTCCTTTGCTCTGACTTTGGAGGAGCCAGTGCAGTTGCTTTTGGCACTCGAGTTTTGTAACCTTTCCCAAATTTCTCCTTCATAACCGCTCATCACAGACCCAAATCCCAGAGGCACATGCTGGCTCAGCCCAGATGCCAGGAAGATCCATCCCCAGCTGGCCATATGACCCTAATGAGTGAGCAGCCATATGTACAATTAATTAAAACTGAAGTCAAAATAATAAAATGAGTTTTCAGGGTGCACTTAGCAATGGCAAGGTTTCCTTTCATAAAATCTGAAAACCACTTGTACAGCCACCAGGAAAAAAGGAAAAGCTACTCATTTTAATTCCCTGTCCTTCAAAATCTCAGTTTAATAGCTATAATGTATATATCCATGTTATATACTGAAAAGTTCACTGAAAGACATTTCAAGAAATGTAATAGTAAAAAAGAAAGCACTGTCTCTGTCCTCCAGCTCACAGTCTGGTGGGACATTGTAAAAATTAATTTCTTTCCTTCAATGGCTGAAGTTCATGATTTCTCTTTCTTGTTTCCCTTGACTGTCTGCAGGTAGACTTTGTTTCTTACTTTGGGTCTGTAGCACCTTGCACTTGCCTCTCTGTTCTGATGGCTCACGTGTCGCCCTTGCTTCACTATGTGTACTGGAGCTTGATGGTGTCAGCTGGGGAGAGCCGACTGCTACATTGGCCATAGTGGGAATTTTTACATCATGCGATTTGGCAAATACTCCAAAATCAGGGCTGTGATTTTTTTTTTTTTTTGGAGAGTTTGTTTACCAGCACACGAGGTCCTTGAAGTCAGGAATATGGCTTTCATTTGGAATCTCTGGAGCCTAACAGTGCCTGGCATATGGTGGGTACTTAATACATATTTGATGAATGAATGAATGAAGGGACTATACCTGGGCTCTATAGGACACAAACAGAAAAACCAACCAACCCAGTTTTATGTATAATAAATGTCACAAAAAGGTAGTGATTTGAGGGGCCCATTGAAAGGTATCCACCTCCCACCAAAATATGTCCATTGCTATTTTGCTGCAGTACTTATTCCCATGTTGATGTCATTTTAAATGTAAAGTCTGTATGTTGATTAGTTTTGGGCGAGAAGTTGACTGGGTAGAGCAGAAGGGAAGCTGATGAGAGGACATGACAGTGGGAGGTGACATATTAGCCAGATGACACAGGAAATGAGGATTCGTTTCTCCAATTATTATTCTGCTTAAGAGCCATCTCTGTGAAGGAGGTGAGATTTATACCCAATCTTTTGTAACTTCCTTTTCCTCTGGCCCGTTCTCTGTAACCCAGGGCCTTTATGCCTTGTTACTCATGACCTCATCTGTCCTTTTAAATAAGATAATCCTTTTGCTCTACACTGACTTCTCCCTTCCTGCTTTTTTTTTTTAAACCCACAACTGCTATTGTCTTTTGGTCATTCTCCACAAGTTCCCTGCTCCTGGATGTGACTTTATGTGTTGTTCCAGCCAGGCACTGTTGTAATTCAACAGAGGACTTGTGGAAACAGAAAAGATTGAATCCAAACCAGCAAACCCCGAAGG